GGGTACAATTAATATTACTTTAAATTTCAAATTAAAATAATAATAATCAAGTAATACAGAAAATAAATAAATAAACTTATTTGACGGCAGTGGCGGGAGGGAGGTGGTGTTGTTCTTCCCCCAATATAAAATATCCCCATTTAAATTCTTGGTCCGAGACGCCCCCTCGCGCCGACAACAAGAAGCAACGTATCCAGCGGTGGCGCATGCGCGTCAATTAGCTCCCCCCCCCACACACCCCCGCAGGCCGTGGTAGAGAGCGTGTCAGCCATGTTTGTTGTTGTTATTGTTGTTGTTGTTGTCTCGGGCTGAGCGAAGAACAGTAGAGCACTGCTCGGCGAAAGAGAGCAAGGGAGAGAGAGAGAGAGAGATAGAGGGTGGGATGGGAAGGGTCGCTCAGAGGAACGGCGGAGAGAGAGCAACGTCGAATCATACATATATTTTTATGACAATGATGCAGACGCTCTGCAAGCCTTCTCTCCTGCTCTGTCGATTTCCACAAGCAGACGAGCTGACGACGTGACGACTAAAATTTTGCGAATTCGTAAAGATAACAATGATAACGGTATAGATATAGGACCGTTTTAAGTAGGCGTTATCATGAAATCTAGAAAAAAACTGTGGAACAAATTGATTGTATTTTTCGTCACCTCCTATTCACCTATTCAAGTAAACCAGTGATTGACGTACATGATATTGATAGAGGTTGTGTTCATCTCGTACAAAAATAAAACAAAGCATCATAGAGAGCGTTAAGTGTAAAAAAAAAATAAAATAAAATAAAATAAAACTTATATTGACTCAAGTGAGAGAGAGAAGGTATACAGTATGGATTCGTGGGATGAAGAGTCTACGGATTACATGAATAACAACGGCGAAATGGCCAAGCCTACGGACTTTTATCTAGGCTTAAGCTTAGCCATTGCTTCGAGTGCCTTTATTGGTTTGTTCTTACTTACATTTGGTACAAAAATATAATGTGTGATGAGTTTTTTGAGTCTTAATAGTTATTTAATTGTTGTAACAATCACCATGATGCTTCATCTTTGTCATGTTTGCTTTCTACCCTATAAAAATACATATGGTGTTACAAAATGCTTCGAATAAGTTTGTGTGTACTTTTATTTGAGTGCAAAAGTGACAGCAATGTGCTGATTTAGAGACTTTATCATTGCAAGAGTGTTTAAACACAAACTCTACAGTTTAGGTGCACGGAAATTAATGTCAAAAAATACTAAAAACGATTTTTTTTAGGTGCAAGTTTTATCATTAAAAAGAAGGCATTGATCAAATTACAAAAATATGGAGGCCTCAGGGCTGGTGCAGGTGGTTTTGGTTATTTAAGAGAGCTGGTGTGGTGGGCTGGCTTATTGTCAAGTACGTTTTATTTCCATTATTTCTCACATAGATATGTGTAATGTGGTTTAATAATAATTTTGTACTTCTTTTAACAGTGGGAATCGGTGAGGCAGCTAATTTTGCAGCTTATGCATTTTCACCTGCAACTCTTGTCACACCACTTGGCGCACTGAGTGTTTTGGTATCAGCTATTTTGGCATCAAAGTTTCTCAATGAACATTTAAATTTACTTGGAAAGGTACGTACACACACCTTCCAAAAGGTTTGAGTTATTTTAAAATACAAAGTTCACTTGTCTTGTAGATCGGCTGTTTTTTATGTATGCTGGGCTCGACTGTTTTAGTTATACACTCACCAAAAGAGGAGGAAATCTCCACTATGGAAAATTTGGCTGCAAAGATGCAAGATTTTTCATTCATAATTTATACTCTTTGTGTATTAACAGCGTGCATATCGATAATTTTTTACTTTGGTCCGCGTTATGGCAAAAATAATATCATAGTGTACATCTTATTGTGTTCATCATGTGGCTCCTTGACGGTTATGTGCTGCAAAGGCATTGGAATATCGTTAAGGGAATCCATCGACGGAAAAAATGAAATGGGTAACTGGTTGACTTGGGCTCTTCTGTTTTCTCTTGTTTTCTTTATCATGCTGCAGATGAATTATCTCAACAAATCTCTAGATTTGTTCAACACCAGCATTGTTACTCCAATCTACTACGTATTTTTTACAACATTTGTGATAATAGCGTCAGCCATTTTATTCAAAGAATGGTCAAAAATGAGTTTTGAAGATGTTCTAGGCTGCCTGTGTGGATTTATGACTATTATCATTGCCATATTCTTATTGAATGCCTTTAAAGACTTGGACGTTAGTTACAGCGACGTACGGCAAATATTTAGACCGAAAAAAGAAATTTCATCTCTCAACAGCTCAAGGAAGAGTATTGATTCATTAGATGAGCGTGGACAAATCCGATATGATGTGGAACGTAACTACGGCAGTAGTATCACTCGTTCTATGTGACGGTTTACCGACTAAAAAGCTTACAAGCTTATTACATGTCTAAGCTGCTGCTGAAAATTTGTTTAAAAAAGTTTTATCACATACGTATATTCTAGTCAATTGGATAAATATATATACACATATATTCCGACTATTTGAAGTCTACGCATTTTTTACCGCAATATATACAAATGTAACATATACACATGAGATAAAATGTGTTCATCATTTATATTTATGTAAATGTATATAAAAATGAAATTTGTATAAGACTGTTGTTTCCAGTTAAAAAGGACGGAATTGACTATTGCGATTCTTGCTGTATATTTTATAACTCATTGAGATTGTTTGAAAAAATATAAAATGAAATCAAGTATGTACAAATATCTTTCGCATTGTTGCTGAATACATTATTTTTTAATTATTCGAAAAGTGTCTTTAATTGTTCCTCTGGCTCATGATTTAACATAAATATGTTCACACATTAATTATGATTCATAATTGTGCATAAGTACACGCCCGAACCACGTCGACGTCGTCGTCTCTCGTATTTCCCCAAGAAAAAAAGAGAGAGCGCATGCGTGCGGACAGCAATTTTCATATATATTCTTTGTGTCAAAAATGGCGTTTAACTTAGCCGCTTTTTCGTACATAGTGTCACTAATTGGCGATGCTTTCCTCATATTTTTCGCAATTTTTCACGTAAGTTGTAAAAACTCTTTTAGATTGATACATACATTTTTTTTTATTTCACTCCAAAGATGAAGTTTTGTAAATTCTCCTTTTCACTTAACCTCTTGTAGGTAAATCATTGTAATTTGCTTACTCACATCAACTTAGTCATTCAATATTTTTTTTTTAATTGTGAAGATTCTGTTTAATTAGCTGTGATTTGTGATTCATTTTCAGGTTATCGCATTTGATGAGCTTAAAACAGAATTTAAAGATCCTATTGATCAATGTAACAGCTTAAACCCAGTAAGTTTTGCAATTTCATATATGAATTCCTATAAAATATGTGAATCTCTAAAATAATGTAATGTTTTTTCTTTCAAAGCTTGTACTTCCAGAATATGCGATCCATCTCATTATGAATGTGTTGTTCCTGATTAGTGGTCAGTGGTTTGCTCTTATTTTTAATGTTCCATTGATTGCCTATCACATAAACAGGTATAGAACCAGGCCAGTAATGACCAGTCCTGGCTTATATGATCCTACAAGTATCATGAACATGAACGACCTAAATAAGTGCCAACGAGAAGGATGGGTTAAGCTGGCATTTTATCTTCTCTCATTCTTCTACTATTTATATGGGTAAAAACTTATTTATAACATGTAGCTTACAATCAATCCACACAAAATGTGTTTTTTCCTTTCAAAGTTTTAAAATAAACTAATTTTGTTTTGTTTGTATTTCAGGATGATCAGCTCGCTGATTAATGCATGAATAAATTTCTTTAAATGTCGTTAAAGACAAGACTGCGTTACCAATTGAAAAAATCACAACTCAAACTTTCCCCTTATTTATGAAGAAATCGTTTTTGTTTTAACTTGTAAATATCACTGGTATGTCTTATTTTTCTATTACTTTAAAATATTTGTTGTTGGGCTTAATGTGTTTTAAAAAATGTATTTATTGCCCTTCATGAAGAACTGATAATTCATCATTTTGTATACGTGGAAATTATGAACGAAGATTAGTTTTTAAATAAATGATATTAGTTACGCAAAAAAAAATTTTTAGATAATATTTAATTATGATAACAATGTACAAAATAAAAGATCAAATAACTTAGGCAACCAAATTAATATTTTAACTTTATCTGATAAAAAAAATATGCATACAAACAATACAAAATGCAAAATTTCCAATACTTTCGTAGATGAAAAATTTAAGTATAAAAACAAAAACTCGTTTTGTACAGTGTAATTATGGTTAGTTGCTAAAAAATGACTAGCTAACGTAATAAACTTCAATGCATGATTTTTAATAGATTACAGTTTAATATATCACTAATTGTAAATAAATTTTATAAAATTTGATTGCTTGAACATTATCATAAAGTGTATAAGTACTTCATGATGTATTTGTAAATGCAATAAAATACCAAAAAATATTAATAGCAAAAAGTTTTTTCTATAAATCTCACAATATTCTACCTGCTTAACTTTTCTTTTAACCATTCTTCTGTTAGCTCATCCAACTCTCGTACTTCATAAACTCTAGTCAGACCAGCCTCTCTTTGCAAAACTAATTTCATTCCTGCATAAAGTACTTGGAGTTCCATTTGAATGTCTCTTGGAGTATAAAATATGAAACACATGGGATATGATATTCTACCATCAGAATGTTCCATTTTGTAACTGTATACAATATATCTTGGCTCATGTTCAGGAATGATTTCTTGAAGTTCTTCTATCTGAATATCCTGATACAAAAATACATAATTTATTATAGAAGTCTTTGAGTACTTAGTTATCATTCATTAAGAATAACTTATTAACCTCTATTAGGTTATCGACGCAGATCTTTTGTTTTTCTCTGTCAACTTTCACTGAAAATATAGTACGAAATTTAGTATTAAGTATAATAAATTTGGGAAGAAATGTAATACTCACATAAAAGGGCTGCATTCTTTTGACTTTTTCGAAACCTAAACTCTTTCAGAGCATTCTTAACATCATCTTTAATATCACACATACTATTAGAAGTCTGTAACAAAAAATAATTTTATTTTCAATAATTGATTTTCATTTCGTGGGTTTATTTATGCATTAACTATTTTTTCAAGCTGTATACCATTGAAAATAAGTAAAATAGTAAATTTTAACATGTAATACAGTACAACTGATGAATCAAGCATTAAATATAAGAATTCCCAAGTCTATTGGCTCTCCTGTCATTTTCATCATCGAAAATAACAAACCAACGCGTTTGACATATTACACATCACCAGCTGACGAAATGTAATCTTAATAATAAACATATGACGAAGTAAACATTGCTATATAGCGCAACCAGCTGGTAAGCCGTAACCGAGCACAAATCAAAACACACATCACCTGCTTCGAGCCAACTCCCCATAAAGTGTCATGAGTAATGAGAGTGAGTGTTTACCATTTTTGCTGCAGTTTTTGACACTTGCACTTGTTGTCTTCGTTGTCACAACTACGTAATAGTTCTATACCTTCACCTTGGATTCTCGATCGTGACTGTACCAAAAAAATACAAAAAAATTAAGTAACTCTTCTCCAGTACTTCATATAAAATTGTGATGGTAGAGTTGCCTCGGTATAGAGTCAGCGGATGTAGTATGATGCCCGCAGAAACCAAACATTTTATGACTCAAAGGTGACGGTCGTCGTCGTCTCTCTCTCTCTCTCCCCTTCTCTTTGCTTCATCGTACGACCCATTGTGTGAAGGTCTTCCTGTTTTTATCCTTTTTTTCTTTTGCGAGTAAGTATATATACTTATATGTTGGTACTGGAACACGATCATGCACATGTACCAAGATGACCAAGTACAATTACACAAAATTGTGAGAGTGCACGTTTACTCCTTTATACTTCACACACCTAACGCTAATCGGCTAAACGCAAAAGTGTAAATTAAGTACTCTTGAGTCGAAATGAAAAATTATAATAATTGCTGCAAAGTGCATCCATGTAGTATAATGTAATGTTTGTAAAATGATGCTTACTTATAAATGGTTTTGATGCACTCGGAAACCGAGGATCCGAGAAGTGAAGAGAAAAAAAAAGGTTCATTCCAGCTTTCATTTTGCCTTATCACTGAAAAATAAAATGAAGTCACCCAACATCCTCTAAATATTTACAATCTTCCAATACAATTACCTGTTCGTTGCTGTCGTTATTTTTAACATGAAATACGAGAGAAAAAACCTTATCCATTAAAATTTTTTTTCGATAGCCCCGATCATTCCTTTCCTCAATATGTAAGTATATGCATGTACATTTACTCGACACTTAATTTTTTTTATTTTTAGCAGTAATGTACGTACAAATTAGAATCAAAAAACACTTTATTCATGAAAATGTAATGAAAAAAAAAATAAATAATAATTCTCCACCTAAGTACCATAAGTTATATTATCTATAAGCTATATAGTCTGTAAATATTACATTTAAAAGTTATTGTAGATACAGGGTACAATTAATATTACTTTAAATTTCAAATTAAAATAATAATAATCAAGTAATACAGAAAATAAATAAATAAACTTATTTGACGGCAGTGGCGGGAGGGAGGTGGTGTTGTTCTTCCCCCAATATAAAATATCCCCATTTAAATTCTTGGTCCGAGACGCCCCCTCGCGCCGACAACAAGAAGCAACGTATCCAGCGGTGGCGCATGCGCGTCAATTAGCTCCCCCCCCCACACACCCCCGCAGGCCGTGGTAGAGAGCGTGTCAGCCATGTTTGTTGTTGTTATTGTTGTTGTTGTTGTCTCGGGCTGAGCGAAGAACAGTAGAGCACTGCTCGGCGAAAGAGAGCAAGGGAGAGAGAGAGAGAGAGATAGAGGGTGGGATGGGAAGGGTCGCTCAGAGGAACGGCGGAGAGAGAGCAACGTCGAATCAGGTTCGACGGCCAGGTAGCCAAACGGAGCCCTGCGTAACGTCAGCGCCGCGCGGCAGCATCATCGTCGTTGTCCGGTCGTCGTCACCGCGAAAGGAAGAAAAGCAGTAGAGAAAGAGAGAGAGGATGTACGTGTGTGTGCGACAGAAGCACGAGCTCTCTCTCTCTCTCCGCTGACTCCGCTCCGTGTCTTATTATTATTTCTCGCGTCAGAGAGTCGAGAGAGAGCGCCCTGTCGCCGTCGTCGCCGTCGTTAGTTGTCGTATACATGCACTTGGCGTAGGTCGTACGTCGTACAACGTCGTGTGTCCCTGTATATACACCTACAACGGGCCTTTCTCCTCATCTCGAGCGTCGTTCCCGTCGTGCGGATGCTCCTTCCGATTCATCCGACGCGATTATACAGTGTGACAAAAGGTGAAGAACTGCGTTAAAACGAGAGAAGACTCTCCTCTCCGAAGTTTTCGCGTGTGTGCGTGTGTGTGCTTGTGTGTGAGAATAATATATTTTGTGAGAGTACAAAAAAGTGACTGCCAGTGCTTTTGCGACATCATCTGGAGGCACTCTGATTACCAACCAGCTTTCCGATTCTCCCTGGGCTCGGCTGTGACTAGCGGTCCGTTTCTCGATTGGCATCGCCAAATTATCGGGTGAGTGTGTGCGTGTTTACCTCCAGCAGCAACAGGATCGGGATTCGGGACTAATCAAACGAATCCACTCCGAAACTCCAAAACGATGAAATCGTCAACACACACGCGTGCTCGCTACTATTTTTAAGTATATACGCTTACACACCCTCATAAATACATATACTTTTTTCTTTCTTTTTTTTATCAATGCATACTAACCTCAAGGGTATGTTGAATACTTATACATGACATATTCACACGCATTACATGCAACAGTACTTGATAGTTGATGGTTGCTCCGATTTTTTTTTTTTTTTTCTCGGTATACTTACGCAGCCAACTTTTGGCGAATCTACTCTGCTTATGTAAAAGGCTATAGAAATAATAGCGACATCGGTGAGATGTAAAAGTTATAATTAAAACAGTAATGATGTGTAGGTATAGCGTATAATGGACTTTTGAGATGATGTGATAGGGGTATTGAGAGTCGGTGGCTTTTTTTATATATCTTTGCGAGGCTGTATAGCTATAGTCGCGGCGCGTGCGTTATTCTCTCTCAGCTGTGTGATGCCTGTTTAGCGGCGACCCTGGCGCACAGAGTGTAGCCCGAAAATAAAGGGGAGAGAGAAGAGTCTCGCTCCATCCACCACCTTCGTCGTTAATCTACGATCTGCCCACCATACCTTTTTTTTCTCCATCCTCTCTCTCTCTCTCTCGTCTCTTTCGGTCCATTTCATCCTTTCGAGGCATGGGTACACATATTTGTCTTTTGCTAGTGTAAGTAGGTATATATTGGTGCGTCAGCTTGTGTCGGAACATTCGTGTCTAGAAAAAAAAAAAAAAAAAAAGAGAAAAAATTGCACCTTCACTGCACAGCCAGTTTTTAAAGTACATCCTGCCCACATCGAGGCTTCGCTTGTCATTGTATATGTACAACGAGTTTAAATCGGCCGTGTTGCGCTTCGATGGTTTATTTAATGATGTAAAACGCGAGTAAGACCTAAATCAAAATTCTAAGTGGTAAAGCTCTCTCCCCCTGTTTCTCGCGAGCAAGCAGGCGAGCTCCTTTGTTCTCCCAAGCAAAGAGGAGCTCGTGTCAAAACGAGCGAGGAACGGGCATGGATAATAAAACCGACTTTTCTTTTTCTTTTTTGTTTTTTTAGTTTTTTAATACGATTCCCTTCTGCGTATTTTTTGTGAGCGTGAAAAAAAAAGGACGAGGGCTGAAACGGGGGGGGGGGGGGGGAGTAGGAGAAGCACCAGGAAGAGAGCAAGGAGAGAGAGAGAATACACACGCACGCTGTGAGGTTCCCCGAAACGTGTGTATGATAAGACTTAAATGTGTATATGGGTACGTGTAACGAAGGAGATGATGGATACAGAAACCAGAGAAGCAGAGGAGGAGGAGAAGAGAAAATAAGGGAGGTCCGGCTCTCTTTCTCTCTCTGTATGGGGTCGGGGTCGTCGTACGTTCTTGACGAGTCTGTCGACCCGCCAAGGTCCTTGTCCTTGTGTTGATGTCCTCCTCTACACCGTCATACTCTCGCCTGTGCGTGTGTTCTGCATCTTTTTCGCTTTCTCTCTCTCTTCCTTCTCCTCCTCGTTATCGTTCTCCTTCATACTACTCTTCTACTTGTACCTACTTCTTCTTTCTCTTCCTCTATCGAACTGCCAAGATCTCCGTATCTTTCGAGAGCACAAGCGCGTTTTTCTGTTTTATATAGGTGCCTAATGGGTATATTAGCGTTGTTCGCGAGGCTACTACTTTTTTTTTTTTTTTTTTTTTTTGTTTAGTCTACAAGCTGTTTGTACAGACTAAGGCTGTTTTGCTCTTTTAAATCACCTTTTTGAATATTTTTGGCTTTGTAATTCATTTTTTAGTTTCTAGATGACCTTAAATCATCATCGCCAAAAATTATGTAATGACGCGTCAGTCGAGCCAATAGATTCTTAAACGAATTTTCGTAATTAGATTATTTCAAATGAATCGATCGAATAAAATCGCTTTTTGTTAATCCAAGATGAAACAACATTCATTCGTTCTCGTGCACCGACCGAGAGAGTAAAAGCTGTGCTAGTATACCTATAATAAAACTTTCAACTTCACCCGAAAGAGGTATATGCATTCAAATACGTACCGAGTTTTTTTTTTTTCCTTTTGTTCTCAGCTTTAAATTTCGTGCGCTCGTGAATAAGCTTTTTCCCCCACTCTTATACTTGTTTCGCTAAAAGAAAAAAAAATTCCGTGCCAAGTGAATCAACCTAACGAAGCAGATGCATTTTTTACGTTCTCGGTATAAATCAGTGGCGACGCCTAATCCCTAAACCACCTTTGGAGTGTACTTCGTGTTTATCGTATAGTTAATTTTTTACTTCTTCGACCGATGCAAAAGAAAAACTCTAAAACAGGTAGTTTATTTGAGCATAAACGAACGGCAGTGCATATAAATACAAAATTGCACAACCATCCGGTAACCGGAAGTCGTGGGGATGAGATGATGAAATAACAGTAGTTTTTATTGTGATTATTGAAGGTATCAATTAAACTTGAAAGAAAAATATAATCCATTTAAGAGTCACTAAAATAATAGATACTTTTTTTCCTGTTATAATTTTAGCCGAAGTTGATGAAAAAAAAAAAAAAAAAAAAAAAAAAGTACTGAACGATTCACATGCATGCAATTTGAAATTCGTATGAACCTCTAGGCGCTGACCTTTATTGTACTGATAACCCGATTAAATTATGCAAGTCGTGCGTAATTAAAGCTGCTGCATCATTATTCATTAAAGCGAAAATTACCAGCTTAATACTCACGTACTTAAAAATTTAGAGAAAATATTATTTATACACCTCTGATGGGGGCAACCCACATTCGATCGTCTGGAAAAAAATTAATCAATACATATTTAATAATATTAAAACGTAAAGCGTTGGGAGTTTAACATAATACAATACATAAGTAAAGCGCTGATATAATATGTATTGCGGTGCGTATCGATGTAGTGTTGCGCGCGATTAAGTTCCAAAGTCTTGGATGATTAATTGTTGAAGTAATCTGCGACGCCAGAGAGAGAGAGAGAGATAGATCGGCTTCTTTGTTGATTGAACTTTCGCACAAGCGGCTTAGCTCATCGTTAAGCTGCGACCGCCGCGGGAGATCAGGATTATTTTTTTCATTTATTTATTTTTTTTTCTTGGGGAAGGAATGAAATTTGAAGCCGCGAGCAAACTTTTTACAGGCCAACGTATAATCAATATAATTTAAGACATCGCGTTGCTTATATACTATAATATAGTTGCGCATCGAGTTGTTGTCTATACTCAGGGGTGGATGAAAATAATAACGATGCACTAACTACCGCACGAAATTGATGTTTTAGTCCGACTCTATACGTGTATAAATGTATACATTGAAAAAAAATTTCATTGACCCGCTTATCAATAAGCACTTACAATTACACGTATACACGAGTTATGTGTGCTTATACATAGATAAAATTAAAATCAACAGGTGTTTAACAAGAAAAGTATGATGATCGAGCGATAAACTTTATTTGTCGACAGGAGCACGGGTCACCATTAATCGGACACCCATCGGCGCTTCGCGCTCATCCTCCCATCCCGCGGAGTCGTCAACGTGGCGGGTCCACCAGCAGCGGAGAAACGGTGGTCGGGCCGGCGCTCGGCTAGCCACCCCACCAGGCTCGGTCTCCAGCTTAGGTAAATCCTCCGACCGGCAAAGTAAGCAATAACCTCCGAAGCAAAGAAGAACGATTAAAGGACAGCTCGCCGAGGCGGAGGGCTAACCCAACAAGCGGCCAAAGCTGGCGGCCAACCTGGCTCGCTCGCTCGGCGCCGCGGGCGGCAACGGCTCCGGCAACGGCAACAACAACGGAAACAACAATGGCAATGCTCGGGGCAACGGTAACAACAACAACAACAACAACAACAACAGATCGAGCCCGGCGTCGGCTGCGGCAGCGGCTGCGGCAGCGGCCCACGTTGCTGCGGCTCACGTCGCCGTGGCCGTCAACAACGCAGCCAGGGGAGCCGGAGCTGCGGGTGGAAACGCCGCGGCTGCTGGTGGCGGTGGTGGACCGATGCTCGAGTGGGAGAACGAAAACGATAGATTTTCCTTCGATGACTCGGACAGGTTCGAGGAGGACTCGTTGTGCAGCTGGAGCACCGAGCCCGAGTCCATATGCAACAATTGGAGGGGCTGGAAGAGACCCATCACGGCCCTCAGCAACTCCAAGCGCTCCTTTGAAGGTCGGTCTACGTTTTTCTTTCATACCCTTCTCTCTCTCCCTTTTTTACACCAATTTACACGTGTCTCACTTTGCAGTAGATGCACTTGCGTACACCTGATATATGTGCGAGTCAAATTACACACATGCGCTAATTGTCACAAAAAAAAAAAATAAATAAAAATAAGCGAACGAACGACTCAAGGTCGACTTTTTTTTTTTTTTTTTCCTCCCCCTGCCCGTACCTATATGTACGGCAACTACACAAGTGTCGGTTCAGCGACGACACATCGGCGCACGCGGTGAGAGCCTCTCTTTCGAGTATCCTCTCGGGTGAGATCCCAAAAACAGCCGTTCGCTTGCCAGTTTCGCGACATCCTTGAAAGCCTATCCGGCATTTCGAGCCTCGGCGTGCACGTTATCTTCAGCCAAGGAGGAAATAGGCCGAAGGAGATGACTTTTAAACTGGTTTTAAAGTATATACATGTGTATATTATACTGTCATTGATCGTTTGTTTTCACGCACACGATTGAACGAAGCGCCAGCGATTTCGCGAGCACACCGTCGCACGAACATCACGCAGTCGCTTGCATTTCCATCCTAATTACAGCGGACACGGGAGTTGGTTACGTTTTAATTTAAAGTTCCCCATAGCAATAGGCACATGTATATATATTACATACTCGGAGAGACAGAGGGGGGAGGGCGGTACATATTGCTAGTGGTGGCGGACGCCTAAATCAGTCGGCATTGTAATTCGATAGAGGGTCGACGTGAAGTGGCGAGAGGGAGGAAGGAGGCGTCTTCGATTTTCTCTTTTCTCTCTGCCTCTTGTCCCGATAGTCTGGAGGGGCCAAAAAGGGAAAGTGCGTAGGTATAGAGTTGGGCCAAATAAGGCGCATAATACATCGGAGAACCTATACTAGTGCACGCGTACATATGATATACACCTACTTGATTATACTTTTGATCGTATAGGGAATGATTTGGTTGTTGATTGGGATTTGGAACGTGTACGAGGGAGTTAATTGAAAATCGATCGTGGGTAATTAAATCTTGTGAAAATTTTCCCAAACAAATGTCTTTCGGAACTGAGTCCGCAATATCCGGTCGAGCGAAACGAAAAGGGTTGGTAAATAACTTACCGTACCTGCTCATATCTACCGGCGCTTTTGAAAATATTACCACCGATATTTGAGATACACCTACATCAAAGGAGAAGAGCATCAGTAGCTTTGAGCGCGAAAGCGACCTCTGACCCAAGTGCTAATGGCACAACTCCTTATGCGTATATGGAGGGTGGAAGGCGGGGGGGATTTTCGATCGTCCGAGAAGAGGAAGAAGATACTCGCTTCCTCGCCCGTGTCTTCCCCGTTTGTTTTACTAAATCACCATCTTTTTTTTTTTTTTTTTTTTTGTCAATGAACTCGGGTTACGAGGTACGGCTTTAATTTGAGATTTTTTTTGCTTAAACCGTCCGGGCGTTCCTCCCTAACAAGTAGTCCACCGAATCGTTTCGCAGATGCAAATTTTCTTGGTTACTTGGTAGTGGGCAATCATGCGAAAATCAATCTGAAAACAAAAAAAAAAAACAATAATCATAAACCTATACGTAAACGAGTTGGGCCTTCGTACATGTTTCATCAGGTGCAGCAGGAGCGACATACGTGTATAAATTTCAAGCCCGAGCATGTGTTCGGCAAAAGTCGGCCAACTCTTAAAACAGCAGCTGGCACAGGCAGAGATCTCTCGCGTGTGTTTTTGTCGCCCGAGAAGCCGCGAGCAGTGCGTTTGCGCGATTTTTTTGTTGCGCCTCGACAGTGGGTCGAAGAGAAATGGCGGTAGGTCACGGTACCTCCTTGGAGCCGTTGCATTGCAAGCTGGTGCTTTTTTAATGTGTTTAGATGGACTTTCGCAAAGTCCCGGTTTTTGCATCAAAAGTCCCCTCCGCTGCGGGAGGACCTCTATCAAGGAATTACTTAAAGCTCGGGTTTCACGTTTCATTTCGTAACGTTAAAAATTACCAATACAATAGTTTGGAACTCAAAGTTCCTCTACAAAAGCTAGCTGTATTAATTTTGATAAAATACTTGAAAAATAAAATAAATTTAAAATAACTTTTATCGAATATTTTGCATTTTGGATCTTTTTTTTTTTTTTTTTTTTTCAATCATATAAGGTTTATCGGAAGCACGTGCAACTTCTCACTGCTAAAAGCTCGGAGAAATGTTAATCCAACCGTGAGGCATCACCGCGTGTATATATACGATTCGCGTAGTATCGACCTTGGACCAGAGTAGTATGGAGCGAGAAAGGAAGCAAGGAAGAAAACTAGCTAGGTATATGTACACAAGCGGTTGGTGGAAAGGACCAAGTGCCGAGAAGAGGCAGAGAGAAGGAAAAAAAAACAAAGAAACAAAAAAAGATCCTTAATTTCGATTTTTGTTCGATCGGCCTTGGTTCTGAATTGTATACACGTGCATTATGTGGTCCGAGCTCTCGTACCACCGCGGCCGCAGGTATTATAATGCACGTGCAAAATCGAGAACAATGAACCATTTATCTGCTTCGTTTGATCTTGAATCCCTTTGCTTGTTGTTGTTGTTTTTTTTGGAGGGGAGACGCCAACCGGTAGTACCTGCGATTTCGGAATAAGAAAAACAGAAAGAAAAAAAAAAAGACACACGCGGGTTTTAGGGTAATAAAATAAATTGAGCCCCCCTTCGGTCGCTCGTTGCTGTTTCGAACGGATGATAAGCACTTTACGGCCTGTTGCTCCCTTTGGTTTTTCTCTCTCGTGATTTTGGACTAAAGTCCGGTATATGGTCGTAACAGCGAGCCACTCAAGTACTTACTCCCATAGTTTTGCAAAAGTGTATATATTATACTCTATGAGCAAAAATTGCTATCTTCGGACCACCCCTGGCGTCGCCGGTTCAAACAATACCCCACGCACTCACTCGGTGGACGGGGAAAAGTTTCCTCGAGGTGGGCACAGCGAACAATACGGGGGGGGGGGGGGTAGAAGGACGAAGGAGGAATGATAAATAGTCCCCGGTCGCGTTGTCTTTAGTCTTTTCTGCTCGCGGAGGAGACGAATGAAACGCGCTGACGACGCTAAAATTCCCTGTATACATCAAGATCTTTTCCTTGCGAATGCAAAAGGTTTTTTTTTTTTTTTATGACTATTCGTAATTGGCGGTGTGCATTTCACGTAAGAAATAGCTCGCAAAGTTGGCTTACGGCACAGTCGAGTGGCTGGTGATTCAATTAAATTAACCGCTGCTCGTGCACTTTGTCGCCGTATAGTTTAGTGGAAACCCAAGCGACGGACCAATTTATCAAAATTTTGGTACAAATTGCCCTTCAAGTACCAAACTCGAAATTTCCAAGGGGCTATACGAACTTGAACGCGCTCACATCGCAGTTATCGCGTACACCTATACGTACATTATACATATATTGGAATAATAATAATAATTTCAGAAGAAGTAAAGCGGTATCTTCCTTCATAACATGTAACTTTACTCGAAACGAAACGAGGGCTGTGTGCACCGTCACCGGAATTTAATAGCCCGATCGTGTCTAGTCGCCAACGTTTTCCTTTGTTTCCTGCGTGGGTATGCTCTATCTTAATCTTCATCAAAATTCTTCCTTGTCTAAAAATACCGATACGCGTGGATACATGAATCGAAAAAGAAGTAAAAACGGAAAGTCTGTAGCAAGTTTTTTTTTTATTTATTTATTTTTTTTTTTTAAAGAATCCAAAATTGTTCATAGCTCGCAATTATTTTCTCGACGTTGCCTGTGCGTAAACCGCGCTCGAGGCGACCGTTGCTCCTCGAACCGATGAGCGTCCCCTCGCGAATCCTCCACGGGCTGCACCCGCTCGCCAATAAAAGAGCCCGAAACCAAATGAACGAGAAAGGAAGAAAGAAAATCGATGCCTCGAGCGCAACATCAGCTCGAACGGTATCTATGTATATGCACACAGAAAGGAGGCAGCCTCGTTTTCTCCTCCTCGAAACGTAATTATCGGGGTACGAAGGGCAGGGGCACGGGGCGAGAGAGGCAAGAAGAGCTTTGCCGCCGCGCGAGGGGGTGTGTAAAAAGAAGGGGTCGAGCGAGCGGGAGAGAGAGAGAGAGCTTTTTTCCCTTACCTCGCGCCTGTATCATTATCGTATACACGCTGGAAGCGTTGTCGCTTGCCCCCCTCACTCGAGTCTTGCAGAGTTAATCGCTCGTCGATAATACACGCGAAATTAAAATTCCCCTTCTCTTCCTTCCCCCCCCCCTTTTTTTTTCTCGCGTTCTATGCAGGGTTTTCTCTATCCCCGAGAGTTTTTTCATACATAAATTCCATCGGACAATCTCACGTACACCTACATGTATAGTATATAGTCGTCCTATATGCTTATAATATTGTATACAATATATCCTTGGCTCCGATGACCTTAATTGCGATTTGCACCTCTTTTTTTTCCCTGTCTTTCTCTGTCGAGTACAGCTAGCAGTGCCAGTATCATTTGCAATTGTTTACATTATATACCTTACGTCCGTCCTCGGGAGTATAGAACCGGTGGTGGAAAATAATAACGATGCATCGGCAAATTGATGACGGTGGCTCTGTAATGATGTCGAGTTTAATAAATAATTTTCGTGCGACAGCTTGAGAAAAATTACTACCGATTGCTGGTCGCAAATTTTTTTTTTTTTTTTTCACCAACAAAACCGAGATAAAAACAAGGCAGGTAATCGGCGATCGTTAGCCCACCGAACCAAGAGCCACGTGGGTGTAACAAGAGAGAAGAGAAAATAGTCATTGGAGCCAGAGAAATTCAATGCAGCGACGAGGTGGAGGCACGCACTCACTATATAGGTACGCGGCGCTCGAGGGGGAGACAGAGCCATTATTTTAATTTCGTCTTCTCTCGCTGTCGAGCCATTGTGTCGAGAAGATAAAAAAGATCCGGGCGCTCTTTCTCTCTGAATTCAAGGTCCGCGTACTCGGTTCAAGACAC